GCCTGTTTACACCTGGTCATTTCATGCGTTTTCGCTGATCGGATATCTATCTGATTTGTTAAAACGTTTCCATTTACACTTGGCCACATAAATGTGTTGTCGCAAAACGGATTTAAATCCGTTCTTCAATTCCTGCGCTATATTTAAATTTAACAGAGTTCACGTCAACAAAATCAAAAGATAAGCGCTGCATTTTATTAATTATCAGCTCACTTCAAGAGCGCACTGGAAAGATAAGTGTCTTACTACTTTTAATGAAGATTATTGTGTGTTGACCGTCTGCGTCTTACTTTCAGTTTCATTCGCGGCAGTTTGAGCGTCGGCTTGCTGAAGAGATGCTCAGCTACCCGTCCGCAGCGATGCGTGTTGCATTAGCGCAGTCTGACTATAATGTCATATAGCCTATAACATGCTCTCACACGTTTATTATTTTATCATTTTGGGAGGAGTGAAATTTACATATGTGGTTTCAACAACCAGATGCATTTACACTTGTCGAGTTTCGTTTGGAATGCGGCCCAGACCACCTCCTGAAGTGGTTTGAGCGATCGGATTTATATCCGTCTCGAATGCGTTTCGGAGGGCATTTACACCTGGTCTTTTCACGATCGGATAGCTATCCGATCAGAAAAAAAATGCATGAAGTGACCAGGTGTAAACAGGCCCATGTTACACAACGTGGGTTCTCTTTCTCAACTATTTAACGTTCCAAAACTGACTGTGTTTAACTGGATACTCGTCAAGTCTGGCATTTTGACATAATTTTGTATGTATTTGAACGTTTTAGCGCAGTCAGCCACTCATTTTGGTATTTGTGGCTCACAAGCTGTTTGAGACTGAGTGCGGCTTGTGTGCGCTCCACTAATATTGATCAGTTCTGGTGCACGCGCTTTTGGTGTAAGTGCGAAACCTGCGGCAATGACTAAAATAATGCGCAATACAAGCATTTAACCGGAGTGAATGAGACGCGTGTGAGAGAGAGAAGGGGTCATCGGAGAGAAGAGAGTGAGAATGCGCGGCTGACGTTAATACCTGTGCCGCTGGTAACAAAACGGATCGGCTCGGAATCGGAAAGAAGTGAGACTTGACATGAGGAAAATCGTCCGATTCCGATCCCTGGCCGATCGATCGGTGCATCTCTACTGCTATCTGCACTAAAAAGTGTGTCAATCATGGAATTAGCATACTAATACAGTGTCATAACCAGGCACGCTGCAATAAAACATCAGGCAGTAAATCTCTGTCGTGTTAAGGGACGTTCACACTGATGCTGATGTGCAATGGCTATGTCAAATAATTTGTCAAAAAGCATTTGTTCTTCACTTGAAATTAGTTTTGTAGACCAATATAAATTTGCCTGCATAATTTCTATTATTTATTTTTTTTGCAAAACTAATATATAATATATATAATAACAAATATATTTTTGAAATGATGGTCTGGATGGTGAAAGAAAAGTAGCCAATCCTAGGTTAAAGGGGTCATATGAAGGGATTTCAATTTTTCCTTTCTCTTTGGAGTGTTACAAGCTCTTGGTGCATAAAGAAGATCTGTAAAGTTGCAAAGACTAAAAAAAGTTTTAACTATAAAAGTTAAGAGTCAGCCACGCCTACCTAAAACGGCTCGTTCATATGACCCCTTTAAAAAAAGTACACTTCCATAATACCAGACATAAAGGGTTAGTTCACCCAAAAATTTAAAATTAGCCTGTTATTTACTCACCCTCAAGCCATAGGTGTACCTGACTTTCTTCTTTCAGACGATCCAGTCGGAGTTATATTAAAAATTGTCCTGGCTATTCAAAGCGTTATTATTGCAGTGGGCGGGTGTTTCTGTTCAACAGTCCAAAACACGTCAAATAAAGTGCGCGCATCTGTAATAAAACGTGCCTCACACGGCTCCGGGGGGTGAATAAAGGCTTCCTGTAGCGAATCCATGAGTTTTTGTAAGAAAAATAACCATATTTCAAATGTAATAAACACTTTTATATCACTTCCGGCATCTGTCATACGCGGAAGCAGTTCCGGCGGATGGCGTAGGTCGTCGGCGTTGCGTGATTAGTGACGAGCACAGAGAGAGAACAAAACAAAACACCGTTCATGAATTAGAAGCATAAACCCAAGCCAAGAGGAGACTGGTTTTCCTTTGCTAAAGTAAGGAAACTTTGCTCCTGTAAACAAACTCGTGAGACTTGCATATTCTCAGAGGCGCGTGACGCATGCGTCCTATGTCATCCGCCGGAACTGCTTCCGCGTACGACAGTCAACAGAAGTGAGAGAAAGGTGTTTATTACGTTTGAAATATGGATATTTTTCTCACAAAAACGCATGGAATCGCTACAAGAGGCCTTTATTCATGCCCCGGAGCCGTGTGAGGCACGTTTTATTACAGATGCGCGCACTTTATTTGACGTGTTTAGGACTGTTAAAGAGAAACACCCGCCCACTGCAATGATAACGCTTGGAATAGCCAGGATCATTTTTAATATAACTCCGACTGGATTTGTCTGAAAGAAGAAAGTCATATACACCTAGGATGGCTCAACGGTGAGTAAAACACAGGCTAATTTTCATTTTTGGGTGAACTAACCCTTTAAAGTGATAAAAATCTCTGTATTTAAAAAATGTATTTAGATAGCACTTGTAGTACACTTGAGTGTACTAGTGTATACATTTTTTAAATACAGAGATAGTATGTTAAAAGCGCATTTTAGTTCCTATTCATGGTGTCCCAAAATAGCACAGTTGAGTACACTTAGATGATCTTAAGTTTATCTTCGGAAGTACTAAAGAATGATTGTTAGTATAATTATAAAATTAATGCACGAAAATAGAGCACTTTAAGTACATTATGGTAGTGCACTTTTTTTTTTACCTGGGATATACATATAAATAAACTTATTCAATAATATTTATGCAGTGGGTAGAAAAAAATGTGGTGTATTTATTTTCAGACTTTAGTGTTAATTTTATAGGCAAGGTTTTTTTCACTTTAAGTAGATGTTTTCTAAAATGAACTTTGATTTAATGATGGTTTAACAATCAACATTTTATAGGGAAATATTATAATAGTAATATTTATTATTTTGTTTGTAATATTCATTTTTTGCTTTTATTTATCATTATTATTATTAATAATAATATTAATATTATTATTTTATAGCCATATTATTCATATTATTATTTTATAGCTATATTGATATATAATCAAAAAAATGTAGCCAAATTTTGCAGCCCTACGAGCACAGCAAACTTTGAGGAAAAAAATGTAATTGCACTTTAAACCACATTTTTTCATCAGAAAAAGTTTGTTTAGATTGAATATAATTATATAATTATTATATAATTATTTTGGTGTTGCTAGTTGTAGTATGATCTCCTTGATTGTAACAGAACCCTTTCATTTCCTGTGTCATTAATAAACCAGCTGCAAAATTGGCAAAGAAGTGATCTTTCAGGAGTTGATATAGTATGTATGGTTCAGATCATGAACACTGAAGATAAAGTGCTTTCTAGTAATTCAGTAAAGATTGGGAGGGAGTGTTTTATTCAAGCTAATCTGATGTGGCACACGTCCAATGGGTATTTCTCACAGGAAGACACGGTCTTCAAGGGAGTGTTATTTTAAGATGTTTGTGCTGTGTTTCTCATTTCCGTTTCTAGGTTTATTCCATGCTTTTGTGTTCTGGTTGCTGTAGTGTTTACGCATGACTTGTGCCAAGCTCAGTGAGAGTGAGAGAGATGGACATTAATGATATTTTCGAAATGTAATCAAATGAAAATTAAACAATTCCTTTAATTTTTTGGCAAACAAAGTGCTGCACAAGAGGTTTACTGTTAAAATTAAAACATAGATATTATCCCTATATGTGTAGGCTATAGTTACCTTCAGAAAGCTTTGCTGTTGCATTTATTTCTGTTTCTTTTGTCCTCATTCTTCATTAGTAAAAATCTGTTGATGTAACTATTTTCTTGATTATTTAATGAAGCATAAGGCATATTGTTATAAAGCTAATATAATATGATTAATATGATACACATTTATAGTTTAGTTCTCTTCGTGTTTTTCTGATAAAGACTTAATAATGAGTGTAAATGATATGCATTAAACTCAGAAAATGTTTTTTTTTTTTTTACAGCTGCTTTTCAGGGATCGTGAACTTCCTGTTAGGGTTCAGTGATGTTTAGATCTAGTAGCTGGCAAACTTCATCCTGATGTTTATAAAAGCACTCTTCAGTTTGTTTAGCAGTGTGTTTGAGAGTGTTATCCTAGAGCAGGGATTCCCAAATGTTTTGTCAGCTGAACTCCTTAACTCCATAAAATATTTACTTGAAAGATTTGACTACACATTAACATGTTCTTGATTTTCTGATGTTTGGGTAATGCTAACATGACATGCAGGGAGTTCACAGCAAATCATCTCACATTAAATACCTCATTCATTCATTTAGAGCTTTTTATCTTTCTTCATCTTCTCTAGCCAAAATTAATATGAATTTTGTTTAAACCAAGGCCGCCGCCTTGAATCAAGTCAGATTTATTGAGGCAGACAGGTTTGTGGGCAGTTGTCATCTTCTCAACAATTTCTCCTATGTCTTTGACGGAGGACTGTATCTCCTGTAGAGTTGCCCTAGGCCTCTTTTGTGACCTCCCTTACTGCAACGCCCAGTTTTAAGGGCCAGGCGATTTTGGGCAGGTGCACCACTCACATTTGTCACCTGTAATTATAGCGTCAGAGAGCTTTAAATTATTGCTTTGAAAAGTTCATAACGTTCCTTCATTTCTTGGAATGTTCCCAGGTCATTCAAATTCAAAATTTGAATTTTTCTTCCAGTTTTTTTTTTCTTTCTTTTTTTTTAAGCAAATGTGCTCAAACGGAAAGGATTCACAGTGGATTCTTCCTTTTTTTACTACTGACTGCAGGTGTCTCGAGATTAAACTTGTAAATATGAGCAACTGTAATCCACAGGTTGTACCATGTGACTAGTTTGTGCAGCCTGTCTGAATGTTATATATTTACATACATATTTACATGTTTTTTTCGCCCTGCAGCTCAAGTTACTCGACCGCAGCCCTTGAGTTTGAGAAGGAGCATCAAATCAATCCCGTGTACGACTCGCCCAGAATGTCTCGCCGTAGTTTGAGGCTACAGACCAGCAGTGGTTTTTATGGTGACAACAGCCTCACTGAGTGCACAGGCATTCACAGTGTCGGCTCCTACAAGCAGACCAGCACCGCCACCAGCAGCAGCAGCGTCAGCAGGTCAGGTCTTCATCTCTCTGTCGGTGTAAGATAACAAACCAAGTGTGCAACATTACCTCTTATCGAGAAACCCGCACAGCCTCGTGCCAGCACTTCTACGTGAGATGAGCGGCATGTTTTTGTCATAATAATTGGAAAATTGTAACTTTTAAAACTGTTAAGCCTATGTGTCTTGTTACTGTGGACATCTTTGCTTCAAGGGAAGGAGGGTATCTTAAATTTGTAAAAATATGCAAGTAGTGACAGTCAGCATCTCAACTGGTTGTGCTGCTGTAATGACTGACATGTTGGTGCTTGAGTAAAGTGAATGAAGAAAAATGAATGACATGGTGAAAATACCATCTTTCCAGCCTTAAAAAAATTCCCCAAAAAGATATGTTTGTGCGATCAGCCTGGCAGCGTATATTTACATGACATGAAGTTTGTACAACTTGCGTGTCAATGCTTAATCATGGGCCATTAAACTGACACAGTGTAAGCATGCAAGTATAGTAGTATTAGTATTTTTGCAAGTAGTATTTTGTCTTTTAGTGTATAATATTAAGCAGAGTGGACAGCATTTTTAAAAAGAAATTAATACTTTTGAGCAAATCAGCATATTAAAATGATTCCTGAGGAATCATGTGACACTGAAGACTGCAGTAATGATGCTGAAAATTCAGCTGCGCATCACAGGAATAAATTACATATTAAATCCTAATAGGTTTTAAAATAGAAAACAGATATTTTAGATTGTGACATTATTTCACAGTTTTTTTTATTTTTACTGTATTTTTGATCAAATAAATGGAGCCTTGGTGAGCATGAGAGGCCTTTTTCAAAAACATTTAAAAAAACCTTACTGATCTACTGAAACCTTACTCTTTTCAAAAGTACTGTATATATAAATGAACTGAATTCCTTCTATTAGCAAAAATTTACTCCGTGATCATGTGATCTTAAATGGCACATCCTCATGATTCATTATGAAACCTAGCATCATTTATAAGATCTTAACTGGGATTTCAAAAATCTAATTTCTCTAGCACTTGCAAAAGCTATTAGAGGAAAATACTCCTTACTTCCTAAATATTCCTTATATTTTCATGCACCAAATGGGGACAAATTGCACAATTTTAAACAAATTGCAATTAGGTGTCTGCAGCATATGGCTGTATATAGGGTGTACTAGCAGTGCATACTCGCTTTCAAATGTAATTGACCTGCTGTATTTTTCCCCACAGGTCTGTGCGGAGCAGGAGGCAGCAGCAGGGCTCATCCGTGTACGAGTCTGAGAGCGTGTCTCAGAGCGTGACTCAGACTCCTCAGAAAGACCAGACCCTGTCAGACCTGAGTTTCACCAGTACAGCCAGTGATGCATCTCTGATCTCCAGCCTGCTGGATCAGTCCACTCTCAGACAGAGCTCCAGGACACACACATACTCTGGTCAGCAGCCTCTCACGAACATGAAGTCAAAACTAACCCGGTTTAATTTTCTTAAAGGGACAGTTCACCCCAAAGTGAAAATTTGCTGAAAATGTACTCACCCTCAGGCCATCCAGGATGTAGCTGAGTTTGTTTCTTCGTCGGAAGAGTTTTGGAGAAATGTAGCATTACATCACTTGCTCACCAATGGATCCTCTGCAGTGAATGGGTGCCGTCAAACAGCTCATAAAAGATTTCTCCAAATCTTTTCTGATGAAGAAACAAACTCATCTACATCTTGAACATCCTGCGGTTTAGTGCATTTCTGGGTGAAGAACTGCCTTAATCGGTGCTTATTTTTTCAAAAGTTCGTCTTTGCAATCTTTCATGAAAACTTGCAAATTGTCAAATGTAATTGGTGTCATTTTAGGCAAATGTCACAACTGTAGCTATTGCTTATTTAATCCTGACTGTTTAAACTATGAAACTATGCATAAACAACTGTTTTTGTTGGAAACTCAAGTTTATGTTTAAGTTAACAGAGTAAACAACTCTCATTCTTGCTCGGAACTGTAGATCAGGGCAGGTTATAATCAGTCCTTTGTAAATAACATCAGGTTGAACGGTGAACTTTGACTCTTTTTATTAATCTATTTGTTTGTTTGTTTTCTTAATGTTGTGTTCAGCACAGAGAAGAAGAACTGCTCACAGCTCTCTGTTGGAGAATGGAGACACCAGTAAAACAGAGGCGCACACTAATCTGGCTAACGGCTATGTTTGTAAAGACTGCTCGTTCCACGCAGACGGGAAGGAGGATGAAATGGCATGTTCCTTACCGTACTCGACATCTGTGTCTTCAGCGTATCAGACAGCTGCAGACGCCACTATGACCACTTCTCTGAACAGTGTTGACAAGACAGGTGAGGACGTGATCAAGTCAAGTCGCAAACATCGCCTCTCCATAATTCAAAACACTTCATTGAAGGAGTAGTTTACCCAAAAAAGAAGAAAAGTTAGCTTTTTCATCATAACAGGTTTGGAGAAATGTAGCATTGCATCACTTGCTCAGCAATGGATCCTCTGCAGTGAATGGGTGCCGTCAGAATGAGAATCCAAACAGCTGATAAAAACATCACAATAATCCACACCACTCCAGTCCATCAACTAACATCTTGTGAAGTGAAAAGCAGCAGTTTGTAAGGAACAAATCCATCATTAAGACTTTTGTTTACTTAAAACCCTTGCTTCCTGCTGAAATATGATTCCTCGATCCATGATAATGCTTTCTCCAGTGAAAAAGTTATCTTTCTGAATCGGAAGATAAATATGCACAGATCCAGCACTGTTTACAAGCCAAAACAGCTCTAAGCAAATATGTGGGTGGATTTTGATATGAGAGGACAACAGAAGATGGACTTTTTCACTGGAGGAAGTGTTAGGGATTTTGGACTTTTTTTTCTTTTTTTTTTGGCCAGAAGCAACTGTTTAAAGTTAAAACACCTTAATGATGGATTTGTTTCTTACAAACATGCAAATTTACACCTTTTTAACTGATGGACTGGAGTGGTGTAGATTACTTGTGGATTATTGTGATGTTTTTATCAGCTGTTTGGTCTCATTCTGACGGCACCCATTCACTGCAGAGGATCCATTGATGATGTAAAGTGATGTAATGCTACATTTCTCTAAATCTGAAAACTCATCTACATCTTGGATGGCCTGAGGGTGAGTAAATGTTCAGCAAATTTTCATTTTTGGGTGAACTATTTCTTTAACCCTCATATTGCGATTTTGTTTCAATAATTTGTTTAACATCTTTATTCTTGTTTCACCATGAATATTTGAAGCAGAAAAAAGGCATCTTAAATGTAGAAGAAAAAAATCTCCCATTTTCAATTTGGAAATATTTCCAGTTGCAGGGATTAAAGTGTTCCGTCGCTATGACGGATTTCCGTCAGTTGATAAAGACAGTCACTTACAATTCCTGAATGATTCAGCCGTTCGAATGAATCAATTGAATGAATCATTCAGTGATAAAATCAGTGACTTGCCGCCACCTGCTGGTGGATTTAGTTCATTTTTAGCGTATAATTTCAGTTATTTGAATCATATTTCTGTATTCAAAATTTTATATTTAAAACAATCTCCACATGAATTTATGAATTTAATTACCTCTGAGCCTCATTAAACGTCTGAAAACCTACCTACAAGCCACTTTTGTGTTCTTCTGTGCACCCTCTGTAGTACAAATTAATTTTAGATTAATGCTAATTTCATATTATTGGTAACTTTTATTTGTCTTATTCTACTTATTATATTGTTTTAAATAGAAATAAAAAGCTTATAAACATACATTTTTGAATTTGACCGATGAAAATGATGCCATTGCAAAGGTAAAAAGAAAATACTCCGGTAAGTCACTTTAGGCATCTTAAATGTAGAAGAAAAAAATCTCCCATTTTCAATTTGGAAATATTTCCAGTTGCAGGGATTAAAGTGTTCCATCGCTATGACGGATTTCCGTCAGTTGATAAAGACAGTCACTTACAATTCCTGAATGATTCAGCCGTTCGAATGAATCAATTGAATGAATCATTCAGTGATAAAATCAGTGACTTGCCGCCACCTGCTGGTGGATTTAGGCCCAATCCCAATTATATTTTATACCCCTTCCCCTTCCCCTTCCCCTCCGCCTCCGCCTACCCCTTCCCAGGGTTCCCACGCTTCTTGAAAGTGCTTGAATTTTAGACATATGGATTCAAGGCCTGGAAAGTACTTGAAAACAAACATAGGTCCTTGAAAGTGCTTGAATTAAATTTGAAATAAATTTTGTTTATGGCGCTATTTAAAAATTGTCCTATATGTTCTGTCAAAGACCGAACAAGCGGCACTAATGATTGGGGGTGGAGATGAGGGAGCGCGAAAAGAAAAAAAAACGTGTGTGTTGACGCGCAGCCTAGAGACCTGAGCGGGACAGTTTTCTTAAGCCCGCTCCCGCTGAATTTCTGACCATTACCGCCCACTCCCGCAAACAATCTAATATTGTGTATTAGAGGGATTAAAGTTTTCCATCGCTACGACGGATTTCCGGCAATTGGAAAAAATTAGGGGAAAAGAAACATGTAGCGCATTGTTGTTGTTCTGCCGGCACACCAAAAATCACCCCGCCATAGCTGCAGCTTCTTGGTGACAACATAACGCCGCTCGCATCATTCACAGTCGGGTTATTAGCAGAGAACACAGAGCAGGACTTGAATTTCGGCGCATTAATCTCCACATGAATTTATGAATTTAATTGCACTCATGCTACCTCTGAGCCTCATTAAACGTCTGAAAATGCCACCTCTGTGGTATAAATTAATTTATTAATACTATTTTCATATGATTGGTAACTTATTTGTCTTATTCTACTTCTTATTATATTGTTTTAAATATACATTTTAAAAAGCTTATAAACATACATTTTTGAATTTGCCATAGATGAAAATCTAACTCCTGTAAGTCACTTTAAAGAGTCAAATGTCACCTCGTATTAGGAAGGCTAATATTTGATCAGAATATTTGATTATGATCAGAAAGTAATCCTAAACATTTAAATTAGGAGGACAAGCGCTCCTGACTGAAATTATACACTAAAAATGAAACTAAATCCACCAGCAGGTGGCGGCAAGTCACTGATTTTATCACTGAATCATTCATTCAGTTGATTTGTTTGAACGGCTGAATCATTCAGGAATGAAGCAACTGTCTTTATGAACTGACGGAAATCCGTTGTAGTGACGGAAGGGAACACTTTAATCCCTGCAGTTGCAATGTGTGTAATTGTTTTTATATATATATATATATATATGCAAATTCATGCCCAGTCGCTTTTTGTGAAATAAAATGAAAAGCATGCTCAAATTTTAGATGAGCAAATGCTTATTTGCTCTGTGTGTGTTTCAGCTCATGACAGCTACTGTGGCAGTGTGAACGTGCGAGATCTGGTGACCACAGACAGCCATCTCAATCTCAACGGCTCACTCTGTAAGTACACACAAGATACCTAAACAATGCTTCAGTGCAAAAGCAACCACAGCTACAGAAAGCACTACAGCTAATGAACTATTATAACATATGACATTGACGTTTGTGTGGCTAAACATATTTTAGTAGTGAATCAGCATCAACAGAAGTCTAGATTGCATTTTGTCACTTTCAAAGTGGACTTTTTAGCTGTTATACAAGTCTGTCAGGTGAAGCAACCAATATTTGGTCTCATTAGGTTATAATCCATCATTCTCAGAGGTTGAGAAAGAGTTAAGTGAACCACATGCTGATTAGAGTGCATTTCCATGTTGATGAGCACCGAGCTCCAGATTATGTGTTTTTGTATGGCTAGTTTAAGTGAAGAACCTAAGCCTGATGGTCAACAGAGAATGTGATTGGCCCATTCTGAATGACAACCGAGTTTAAGGTTGACAAATGATGTTGTTAAACAGAACCACACATGGGAATTCAAGAGTCTGGGACATTGGATGTAACAACAGTCTAAAGTTGACACTTGAGCTATTTGTGATGTTTTTATGTTGCCTTCCTGTCCATATATCTTAGTCTTTTTTTATTTACATGATGGACGTTATATTATCAGTAGTTTTCAGTCATTTTGAATGTATTATTTTATAGATTCAGATTTTAATTTACTGTACTTCTCAAAAGTTTGGGATTGATAAGATGTTTTGGAAAGAGGTCTCATCAAGGCTGCATTTATTTGATCAAAAATAGACAAAAACTGTAATATTGTGAAATATTATTGCAATTTAAAATAACCGCTCTTATTATCAATGTTGAAAACTTGCTGCTTAATATTTTTGTGGAAACTGTCAAGCATTTTTTTTAAGAGTCTTTGCATAGAACTTCTAAAGAACAGCATTTATTTGAAAATCAAATCTTTTGTAAGATTCTAAATGTGTTTACTGTCACTTTAAATCAATTTAATGCATCCTTGCTGAATAAAAGTATTAATGTATTTTAAAAACTATATTTTACTGACCCCAAACTTTTGAACGGCAATGTATTATTTTGAATTTATTATTTAATAAATGTATGTTCTAGACTTCATTCATCTGCTTTGTATTGTTTCCATGAATGTACTGTGGTAAAACTGAAAACACACACATCTTTGTTGATGTTGTCGTCCCTGCTGATTTTCAGGTGATGACTGTAAAGGAAAACAGCACATGGAAATGCACACGGAGCACAAACGCTATTCCTACACCCACCATGTATACGCAGCCTTGTGGGCCCTTGTTTCTTACACAGGTTATACACCTTCAGATCTTTACACACCTTCCCAGTAGACGGCAACTTCAGTGTCTCATTCCAGTAGAAATACCTTTGTGTGTCTTTCACGATTTATGTTTTTCATCCATTTGTTAGCTGAAAGACTATTATGTAAGACACTGAAATGAAAGAGATTGGGGGGGGAGATGGATTGGATCGCTGGATGTTGTCTGATTGTGTTCTGTTTTGGCTGTTTTGATGGTACACACCCAGGTTATGGGCTTCTGCGGGTTTGCCGAGGTTTCGGCTCGGCCGGTGTGTTTGTGACCCGGAAGCTGAAGTCCGTTCTGTGGTTGGCAGTGTGTTCTCCAGGTTGATATAAATTCAGACTCCAGCATGCTTGTCTTTGTCTCTTGCTTTCTCCTTTCCCTCATATCAGTGTGGCTTATTAGACTTTCGCATATATTTGACTTGTTCGTTTTTCAAGCACAGTGAACCCACATCACTTCTGTCTGAAGACTCAAATCATTTTAACCAGCACTTCCTTTCTTAGCTTCTAAGCTGTGGTGGTTCGAGTCCATCTGTCTCTGTTTCTGAATCTTTGACTAATAAATCTCTTCCTTAAATCATTTAAACCTGTCAGTGTGTCACTTGGAGCAACTTTCACTCCATATAACTTCCTCCTCTGCTCTTACACATGTGCTCTGAACAGGGAAAGCAGCGACTGGCGCCTTCTGGTGGCTGGGAACAGGATGGTATCAGCTGGTCGCGCTCATGTCTCTGATCAATGTCTTTCTTCTCACCAGGTAAAAGTTTAAAGTATTTAATCCTTAATATAAATCTTGTCTTTGTTTTCTTTTGTTGTTTTTTTTGTTTTTTTGTAATGCACTATAATCATGTGATATGTTGTTTTGTTTTGTTTTTTGGTCAGAATGCAAATATTATCACTCGTGTTCATATGATAAATGTAGTTTTTGAGCGTGTTTTCTCTCTGTCTGTCAGGTGTCTGCCCAAACTACTGAAGCTCCTTCTGTTTCTGCTACCCTTACTGCTGCTGTTCGGTGAGATTTCAGTTGGACTGATTTGTAACACTGCCATTGAAGGAATATTAATGCTTAGTGCTAAAGGAATTCATTTAATTTAAAGGGATAGTTCACCCAAAAATGAAAATTCTGTCATTAATTACTCACCCTCATGTCGTTTCAAACCCGTAAGATCTTCGTTCATCTTCGGAACACAAATTAAGATATTTTTGATGGAATCTGAGAGCTGTCTGACCCTCCCATAGACAGCAACGCAACTGAAATGAAATCTTAATTTGTGTTCCGAAGATGAACGAAGGTCTTACGGGTTTGAAATGACATGAGGGTGAGTAATTAATGACAGAATTTTCATTTTTGGGTGAACTAACCCTTTAAGCATCTGTTAGATGCTGTATAAATGAAAAAAAACACTTTTACAGTGATTTACATAAGCATGTACTTTTGTTACATGCACTTACATAAGGTAGTCTTTAGTTTAAAACAAAAATAAAGAAATACTTTCAAATGTTTTTTTTTTTTTGGAGGTGGGGATACTTTCTAAGTGGAAGACCTTTTGCTTAAGCATTACTTGTATACGTGTAGGTGGATTTTCTTAATTAAAACGGTCCTTCACAGATAGATACACCCAGTCTCTTCCTGGTATTCTTGTGCTGACACCAAAAAAAAGTAACCGGATTTGCTTGTTTAGCTGATGATGCACGAGTCGAAAGATTCGATATACACTACCAGATTTACACCATCAAAATTTTTTACAAATAAATTAATACTTTTATTTAGCAAGGATGCATTCAGTTGATTTAAACGGTAACTGGCGCCTTCTGGTGGCTGGGAACAGGATGGTATCAGCTGGTCGCGCTCATGTCTCTGATCAATGTCTTTCTTCTCACCAGGTAAAAGTTTAAAGTATTTAATCCTTAATATAAATCTTGTCTTTGTTTTCTTTTGTTGTTTTTTTTGTTTTTTTGTAATGCACTATAATCATGTGATATGTTGTTTTGTTTTGTTTTTTGGTCAGAATGCAAATATTATCACTCGTGTTCATATGATAAATGTAGTTTTTGAGCGTGTTTTCTCTCTGTCTGTCAGGTGTCTGCCCAAACTACTGAAGCTCCTTCTGTTTCTGCTACCCTTACTGCTGCTGTTCGGTGAGATTTCAGTTGGACTGATTTGTAACACTGCCATTGAAGGAATATTAATGCTTAGTGCTAAAGGAATTCATTTAATTTAAAGGGATAGTTCACCCAAAAATGAAAATTCTGTCATTAATTACTCACCCTCATGTCGTTTCAAACCCGTAAGATCTTCGTTCATCTTCGGAACACAAATTAAAGATATTTTTGATGGAATCTGAGAGCTGTCTGACCCTCCCATAGACAGCAACGCAACTGAAATGAAATCTTAATTTGTGTTCCGAAGATGAACGAAGGTCTTACGGGTTTGAAATGACATGAGGGTGAGTAATTAATGACAGAATTTTCATTTTTGGGTGAACTAACCCTTTAAGCATCTGTTAGATGCTGTATAAATGAAAAAAAAACACTTTTACAGTGATTTACATAAGCATGTACTTTTGTTACATGCACTTACATAAGGTAGTCTTTAGTTTAAAACAAAAATAAAGAAATACTTTCAAATGTTTTTTTTTTTTGGAGGTGGGGATACTTTCTAAGTGGAAGACCTTTTGCTTAAGCATTACTTGTATACGTGTAGGTGGATTTTCTTAATTAAAACGGTCCTTCACAGATAGATACACCCAGTCTCTTCCTGGTATTCTTGTGCTGACACCAAGAAAAAGTAACCGGATTTGCTTGTTTAGCTGATGATGCACGAGTCGAAAGATTAGATATACACTACCAGATTTACACCATCAAAATTTTTAAAAATAAATTAATACTTTTATTTAGCAAGGATGCATTCAGTTGATTTAAACGAAAAAAAAAGCAAATCAGCATTTTAGAATGAATTCTAAAGGATCATGTGACACTGAAGACTGGGTTAATGCAGGCCCGGTTCTACGGGGGTGCAAACGAAATCAATAGCACCCTCAGTTAAAGCTGTAATAGTGGCATTTCATTGCAGATGTGGCAAACTATCCAGCACTTTGGAGATCGCTTTCTATTTCAACGTGTTTTTACAGCGTTGAGCAATGTAGCCAATCATAGACATATCTGTTGATTTCTTGAACACAATGGCCAATCAGAAACATTTTTGTCAGAATTCACTCACCGCTGAAAGCGCCGCAGTTTTTAAGTGCAGTTTTGCACTCTTGTTAATCATCTCATGACTAAGTGCAGACACGATGTAAATAAGAGATTCATTGTGCAGTTTAGAGAGCTTAATTGATTATAACGGAACTTTGTGAGATTGCGATGAACGAAGATGAGTGACGCTTTTTAGTGATAAAGGGAGCGCGCTTTGCGCACTTTCTAGGGTATAATCCGTTCAGAATTTGCATGAAACTTTCGTTTTTCGGACACAGGCTACACCCTGCAAAGTTTCGGGAATGACATCCGCATATTTATGCGGGATTCACTCTCGAAACAGCACACCACATCCTCTTGTACCACTGTTTGAAGAATTGATCTTCCAGAATCTGGCAGTAAGTTTTAGGAGCTCATTTTTGTCAGTCTCTGCAAGACACACTTCTCAGGATAGGAGATGGACTAAAAATGAACTCCCAAAACTTACTGCAACATGGAGCTAAGGAGAAAATGTAGAACTTGAAAAAATGGAAAAACAGCTCAGTGAAAAGCGTTTACAGTTTAAAAGAGAAAGTAGAAAATCATAGAAAATTATAGAAAGTCCTATTTTTTTCATTTCTTAATATTTTTTGCAGATTTGCACATGTACAAGGTTTAAAATGTTCATGAAATATGTTTTATTAATTTGAAAATTGAGAAATTGTTTCAAATTTAAATCTTGTACAAGAACTACAGCAAAAATCAGTTTGATGCATATTTTATCAATATTTTAGAAATTTAATTTGAATATCACCAGTACTGACTTCAATGGATTTCATTAAATTCCTTTGAACACGACTGCTCAAAACAGTCTAAATTTATGAAACCTACACATTCAAAACATTATTACTCTGAAATGTTTAATGTAAATGTTAAGTGTAAGTGAAATGTTAAGTAATGTAAGGTCTTTCATGACACTACATATGCTGGGGTGTGAATTTGATAAGGGCTTAATATAAAGTATATTGTGCTTGAGAAAGTTCTTGAAAGTCCTTGAATCTGGTGTTCATGAAAGAGTGGGAACCCTGATAGCACTGAAATCCCTTCGAAATAACTTTGAAAAAGTGCCTTTGTGTTTTTTTTTTTGTGTGTGTTTTTTTTTGTACCAGAAAGTCCATAAACTTCTTAAAGCAGCTTCTGATCAAAGACTATGTGATTTTTAGAGACCCTGTCTTTTAAAGTTTCCCTTTCTCTCCGTTTATAGGATTATGGTACCTCGGTCCGCCCATTGCTCTGTCCTTCCTTCCAGCTGTAAACCTCACAGAGTGGAAAACAGCAGTCACTTCTTTCCCATCACTTCTTCCACTCCCTTCTCTCCCATCTCTTCCCTCTTTCCCCGCATTACCTTCTTTCACTAAAGAACCACTGGCTGACGAACAACACATCTCACCCCCGGTGATCTCACAGGTAACAAACCAAGACCAGTCGGTAGAGTATGATATCTTGTGTGAAATCTGATATTTAATCATTCAGCAAAAATACACGAATTTTAATCAAATTCTGATCTGAATTCTTTCAGGCTGCGTCAGAGTCCATTAACAGCGAGTGTTTGGCTCGGCTGGAGCAGCGTGTGGCGGCGCTGTGGGAAAGCATCCAGCAGGGGGAGCTGAAGGCTAAACAGCAGCATGAGGAGGCCGTTGGTTTGGTTCAGGCCCTTGAGGATCAGATAAACACACAGACAGACAGAGAGAGTCTCAGCCTGTGGGTTTCTCAGCTCCTGGAGCCCAAGTTCACTGTGCTCAAGGGACAGATGGAGAGAGTAGTGGTTAACAGGGCGGAGGTCAGAATGAGTGCTCGTCTTATGTTTTACCCATGGGCGACATTTGACTCTCGAGTCGGGGGGGGCAAGAAAAAAAAAAAAATCTTTTAGGGATGTAGCCTATGCATCAAAACAATGCGCTACCATATTACAGCGCAGTGAAGAATAACTTAAAGAGGTTGCCTGTGTTTACTAAACTGTGGAACTTTGACTCTTGCTGCTGATTTGAATGGCGATGCTTCCTGTTTTAAGTGTCAGTTGATGGCTTTTCATTTAACCAGAAATGCGCGCGCTCCTTTTCTGATGTTCATTTAAGTTTTTTGTGTCTTTTTCCCGTGTCACTTGAAATGTGTCAGTTTTGAATCATTGTGGTGAGACACGTGAGGAAAAAATAAACGATCAGTTTATGGGACTATTCTGTCATAAATCACATACCATTCATTTCTGAACTTTCTACCGTCCGTTACTGGAAATGAAATTACTGGTTAATATGTCCCGATTTCAATAAGTTTACACACGCTTTTAGTCCGTGAACTGGATCTCGCTCAGGACACGCACTGTCTGTGGAAGTTTGGCCAGGACCACTGCCAGAGTAAATCACCTAGGGATTTTTGTCCCGTCCATTGCTTATCACTGATATTTCGAGAATGAATCCAGCATCATTCCCGAAACTTTGCAGCATGTATGTGTCCGAAAAACAAAAGTTGAATTAAAATTCTGAATGGATAGCCTAGAGAACACACAAAGCACGCTCCCTTTATTATCACTAAAAGAATCACTCAAAGTTCATCGCGATCTCACAAAGTTCCGTTATAATCAAGCTCTCTAAACTACACAATAAATCTCTTTATTTACATCGCGTCTGCACTCAGTCATGAGATGATTCGCGAGCGTGCAAAACTCCGGCTCTTTCAGCGGTGAGTGAATTCTGAAAACGCTAATGTTTCTGATTGGCCATTGCGTTGAAGAAATCAACAAATATGTCTTTGATTGGCTACATTGCTCAATGCTGCAAAAACATGTTAGATAGTTTGCCAGATATTTTAATTGCTTTTGCTTTCGTTTGGTGGTATTTAGCACCATCTAGTACCCCTGTACAACCGTTCCGTTATAATCAATGAAGCTCGCTAATCTACACAATGAATCTCTTATTTACATCACGTCTGCACTTATGAGATGATTCACGAGCGTGCAAAAAAACAGCGCTTTCAGTGAGTGAATTCTGAAAACGCTAATGTTTCTGATTGGCCATTGCGTTGAAGAAATCAACAAATATGTCTTTGATTGGCTACATTGCTCAATGCTGCAAAAACACGTTGCTATTTTTTAAAAGTCCTCTAGGATTGTACTTGTCAGACTTTACGAACATGATGATCATGCCTAATGTCGCCCATGGTTTTACCCATTAGGTTTCGCATTCTCTTAGTTTGTTTTGATCTTTAGTTATTTTCACTTCCAAAGTGATTGCCAGAAAGTTAATATTTTATGGGACTGTCCTGCTTTTAATGATATTATTCAACAATTTCTTCTAAGATTTAATTATTAGATGTTTTTCATTAAAAATACATTAAAATACAAATATTAAACTGTTATATTGTATTATTATTTTGTTTTAGACGGGAAATTGTCTTTTTTTCATTAATTATATATTTTGCCATGACATTAAAGCTGATACTGCTTTTAAAATAAATACTAAAATAAATAAAAATAAATGTGGAAGCATATTTTATGGGACCATCATGTTTAATGTTATTATCCATCAATTTTATTCAGAAATGTTATTGTTAGATATTTTTTTAGATTTTTTTTTTAATCTTGGGAAATTTGTCAGTTTCCATCACAACAAAATGAAAGATTTTATGTAGTTATTATAATGCTGTTGTTTAAGAAGTTTAATTGTATTTTTTGCCATGAATATATGGATATAAAGTAAACAAAAAATAATAAATACAAAATAATATTGAAGCATATTTTAAAGTCCTGCTTTTAATGTTACTAGGCAATGATTTTATCCAGAAATTTCATGAATGTTTTTAAAATACATTGCTTCTCTATCAAATGTTAAACTACAGTATTTTATCTAGTTGTTATCATAATGTTTTTTACTCTCACGATGTCTTCCAGACTGAGGAACAGCATGTGCAGCATCAGACAAATCTTGAAGCTCGACTAGCCGAGCTGGAGCTCCTGCTGAAGAACCTGAACTCTAGAACTGAGGTATAAACACTCTTTTGAGACTTTCAGGTCTTGTCGAAATGACTGAAACCTAGTGCTGGGCAGTATACCGGTTCATACCGAATACCGGTGTTTATTTTTGTTATGATATGAATTTTTAAAATACCGCAATACCGCAAAAATATGTCGCTGTTTGAAAGGGGTCCCTTTTCACTGTTGCACTGTGGTGAGGGAACAGATATTTGTGTTACTAAGCGTGAAAGTTCCGAAACTGAACCTGTAGACTAATAGAACGTGATGACACAGAAGAACTCATCCACAATATCCACATTGACCGCCACAAATATCCACCACCCCCTGCCATCAGCTCCCGCGTCTCACACTATAAATTTTTGGTCATACCGCCCAGCACTACTGAAACCACAGTTTAGAGATTGTTCTACCATGTCCTCAGACTCCGAAATTATTTGTTGCATTGCTGATGTTCGTCACTACAGATGATTTAACTTTAAATTCTTCTACGAAATACTATAAAATTGTAACAGATAATACAAAATATTTAAAATGGCCTACACAACTGTTCAAAAGTTTGGGGTCAGTAAGATTTTTGTGTCTCATGCTCACCAAAACCGCATTTATTTGATCAGTAAAAATACAGTAAAAACAGTAATATTGAATATTAAATTGTGATGCGATCTAGGAAAAAACATTTTTGTCAAAATTGGGTTGTCATTAAATTATTATTCTATAACATCTTGTCTATCATGTCTGAAAATATCTTGACAAAATTCACTTGTTTAGTGCAGAAAAATAGCGATTTATTGTGGCAAGCAGAAAAGACTGTGTTTCTCTAGTTTGCTAACATGTGCTGCGGAGGTGCTTTCCCTTAACACTACAAAGACAGTTCACCTATCAAAATAAACCATGTAACGTATATAATAAAGGCATTTTCCACTGTGAACTATGGCATGCAAAGCTTGGGGTAGCTTTAGCTAGTCTGCTTGTGTAATGAAGCAGTATAGCGCTCTTGAAAGCGACCAGCACCATTTTCATATTAATGCTATGCATTACTTTCATTTAGTTCAAACGGTGACAGCGTGAAATAAAACTACAAGTTTAGAACCCAAACCTACAAATTACAGTTCTGAACTGTGTCTGGTTATGTTTTATAAATCCAGAGAGTAGTAGAACAGGAGAAGAATTGGAGATTGGAGCCTGCACGCTGTAATCTGTGATGTTTTATGAACAGATATACACTTACTGTTCAAATGTTTGCAAGTGTTGTGTGTTCCATGGGGTCATTTTGTATTTTTTACAACATGTACAGTGACTAAATTAAGTCTTTTGCCACAGTAAAGTGAAACTTTTACTTGTGATACTTGACTGTTGTGCTTTTATTTTCATTGCCTCTCTTTAAACCAGTTTTTCTCAAATTTCTGTTCCTGAAAATCATGGTGATCAGCCAACTTCAGATAGCCATAACCTTTGTTACGTTCAAGCTATGGATGAAATAAAAACAGTTTTGGAAAGGGCTTGAACCCAGCTTTTATATGGTATCAAAGCATATAATAGGTCAAATGTCACCATGTGGTGGGTTTTCCTAGATTGCATCACAATTATTATTACAAATTAAAATAACTTTTCTAATTGAATACATTTGAAAATATAATTTATTTCTGTGATGTCTAAGCTGATTTTTCAGCATCATTACTCCAGTCTTCAGTGTCACATGATTCTTCAGAAATATTTCTGTTAGCCTGATTTGCTGCTCAAGAAACATTTCTTATTACTGTTAATGTTTTACTGTCACTTTTGATCAATAAAATGTATCCTTGCCTGATTATAAGTACTAATTTATTTTTAAAAATATCTTACTGTTTCTAAAGATGTGAATTGCACATTCTAGCACATGTAACTTTTTTTTATTTTTATTCTACTCCATCTAATTCTGTCTCAATGTTCTTCTCAATCAAAGGAAATCCATCTAACACAGCAGACTCCAGTACAGGCTCCTGTCAGGTAGACATGCTAATACATCACCAGCTAAAATGGTTGTTTGGGGCTCCTCCTGTCTGAGTGTTAATGTTTGCTCTTGTGTTTCCCGCTGCAGTGTTGGAGTCTCTCAGGAGAAGCATGATGCTTTGCTCACTGAGGTTCAGAGGCTGGAAGCAGAGCTGGGCCGCATCAGAGGAGACCTGCAAGGAGTGATGGGATGTAAAGGGAAGTGTGACCGACTCGACACCATACATGAAACCGTATGTAATGTTTATATACAGCACATAATACATTCATCCTGCTTTTTCACTTATATATATATACAGTATCTCACAGAAGTGAGTACACCCCTCACATTTTTGTAAATATTTTATTATATCTTTTCATGTGACAACACTGAAGAAATGACACTTTGCTACAATGTAAAGTAGTGAGTGTACAGCTTGTATAACAGTGTAAATTTGCTGTCCCCTCAAAATAACTCAACACACAGCCATTAATGTCTAAATCACTGGCCACAAAAGTGAGTACACCCCTAAGTGAAAATGTCCAAATTGGGCCCAATTAGCCATTTTCTCTCCCCGGTGTCATGTGACTCATTAGTGTTACAAGACCATACAGCGGTTTAACAGGACAGGTTCCACTCAAAACAGGCCTCGCCATGGTTGACCAAAGAAGTTGAGTGCACGTCTTCAGCGTCATATCCAGAGGTTGTGTTTGGGAAATAGACGTATGAGTGCTGCCAGCATTGCTGCAGAGTTTGAAGGGGTGGGGGGTCAGCCTGTCAGTGCTCAGACCATACGCCGCACACTGCATCAAATTGGTCTGCATGGCTGTTATAATAAAATATTTACAAAAATGTGAGGGGTGTACTCTCTTCTGTGAGATACTGTATATATATATATATATATATATATATATATATAAAATCGAATATCTTCCCCAGGTGTCAGCGCAGGTGAAGGAACAGTTGTACGCTCTGTTGTACGGTCGTGACAGAGGTGAAGCAGAGATTCCCGAGCCGCTACTGCCGTGGCTGGCATCTCAGTACATGCGCTCCTCTGACCTCACCGCGACCCTCATGACCCTGGAGCGCAGCATTCTGGGAAATCTGTCCCTGCAGCTGCAGGAGAGCAAACAGCAGCAGTTCTCGGCTGAAACGGTTACTCAGACCGTTGCCCACACCGCCGGGGCTGCTGGGATGTCAGAGGAGGTACTACAACTGTTGTTTTGTTATACACTAGTGTTCAAAAGTTTGGGGTCAGTAAGATTTTTTTTTTTAAACAAATTAATACTTTTATTCAGCAAGGATACATTAAATTGATCAAAAGTGACGATAAAGACATTTATAATGTTACAAAAGATTAACTTTCTATTCATCAGAAGTATCACAGTAAAAATGTATCTCAGTTTCCTCAAAAATATTAAGCACCAAAACGTTTTTTTTATATTGATAATTATAATAAATGTTTCTTGAGCAGCAAATCAGCATATCAGAATGATTTCTGAAGGATCATGTGACACTGAAG